TCTACACCAAGAGCTAGACTGTGGGGAGCAGCTGTTTGCTAGCTCCTGAAGCTTGCTGGCCTTGTGTCGTTGAAGAAACAGGGTACTGATGTGAGTGTGTGTGGAAGGAGCATCATTTCATTCCCAGATGCATTCAGATATGAAAACACTTTCTTTCATAGGCTTAGTCTGTAAACCGTGGGGATTTCTAGCATGGAACTTTACACCTGTGCTTCATTTGACATATTTTTCAAAGCCACAGCCAGGAATTCAGGAAGTTGAGCAGCATGGACTAGACTTTCAGAGCCCAAACCAATCCTGTGGATTAATACATTTATCTAACAGAATTGCGGTTGTTTGGGCTGGTTGGTTGGTTTCACCTAGCTTTTATATTTTTCTGTTTTAAGTAATTACTGGAGACATTTAAACTAGTGAGTTAGCTTATAGATGGAGATAGAGAAGCAGGAAGCATCAGCCTAGACCTAAAAAGAAATGGCGATGGGAGAATGGAATGGTAAAAGTATTCCGTCTCCCTTAACTACACCAGTATGTTTCAGTAAGAGCAGAAACCTGCATAGTTAGACGGTCCTCAGCACAGGTGTCAAGGGTGACATTCGCAGCCTGTATGTCGCATTAGTGCTGTGTGGAGAGGCAGTGTATGCAACACAAAATACTTGTGGTACGTGTGCAGAAGCAAGGCTGCGGGAAGTCATTTGATGTACCTTGGATGAATACTGCCAGAACACTCCAGATTCATCGTGGCTTTGACTCTGCTTCATAAACCTTAACTGTTGTCCACATTCAGTGATGCAGTGCAACATGGGGTCGTGATGCACTGTGTGCCAGATGGACGCTCAGAGTGGTGGTGTGGAACGAGGCTGGGAACCAACAGGCCTGGGCAGGCGTGAGGGCCATGGCCTCTGCAGGATGCCCTCAACTTTAAAGTGAGAGTAATGTGGGTCCCAAATAGGACTGGAGTGATGGTTACTTGAGATAACACTCAAAAGTGTCTCATCCTTGGTGTGAGTGAGTCCTGGGGAAGAGTAATAGCACTGGGAAATTCTGACTGAAAGTGCCGAGCCTGGCTGTAGCTTGTCAGTACTCAAGCACTGCAGACTACTCTGGTGCCCCTCGGTTTGCTTATCTTTTGTGTTTATTCCAGCACTCACTGCTTGTGATGAATGTGTGTCCTAAGTTAGCCTATTAACCCTCATGAGGTTAGCTCATAATTCAAATGAATTATTTGTTCAAAACAAATTTGCCACTTGACTCATTGGAAATAATATTTCTTTAGCTGAGAGTGTATGTGATTCTTCAACTGGAAAATGGGTTTTAATGAAGATTTTGCGAGGCATATTGGTACATGCTTTGAGTCCTAGCTCCCAGGAAGCAGAGGCAGGCGGGTCCATGTGAGTTCCAGGCCAGCCAGCCAGGGCTATGTAGTGAGACCCTGCCTAAGTAAATCGTTTCAGATTTTATTAGTGAATTTTTCCTTTAAGACTTTCAAATGAAATAACCTCGGCACATGGAGGAGATGGCTCAGCAATTGAGAGTTGCTTGCTGCTCTAGAGAACCTGAATTCAGCTCCCAGTACCCACAGGCTCACAGCTGCTTGTAACTCCAGTTCCAGGGATGTGACACCTTTTTGATTGTCTTGGGCACTCACATACCCATAGGTAAAAATAAAATATAAGCTTTAAAAATTAAAAAAGAGAAGTAACCTCAGCACATTTTTATGTCTAAATAAGTAATATTCGTTAGCAGTTAAACTAAAAACTTGTATCATGGAACTGGTGGTCAATTGGTTCACTAAAGTGCTTGTATTTGCTCTGCAGAGCATATGTGATAAGACAGTGTGTGCCCTCCCAGCCCTGGGAAGGTGGCGGCTCACGGGTCTCTGGGATCACTGAGCACACAGCTCAGCCTACTGGGCAAGGCCAATGAGAGACCCTGTTTCAAAAATGAGGTAGATGGTGACTGATGGACAGCACATGAGCTTGTTCCCTGTGTGAGCTCTACATGCGTGTGCACATGTGTGCATGTGCACCCCCCCACACAACAACAGGCACATAAACATGCTAACACAATCTCACATTGTTTGCAGACTTGAACAGTTTACTCATAATCATCACAAAGTTAGATGAGAAGATGGGGCACGTAGAAGCTGCTCTCTTGCAGTGTTCCTCAGCTGGTTTGCTGTGCTGTACACCGGGAACAAGAGGAACAGTGGTAGACAGCAGGGCTCTCAGTAGCGGTGAGCGCTGAGGCCAGGGTTAAAAGGACAAAGTGCTGAAGAGCAAGAAACTTTCAAACAGGAAGGTTCTCCATAGCAGCTTGTCCTGGCCTCTGTGGAAAGACCCTCCTCACACTGACTTTCAAAGTGTTTTATGAAGAAATTTTACAGTTCTAATGTGTTTGGAAAACTCTAAATTTAATGTGGCTTTAAAAATGTAATGTTGAACTTTGAAAAACTTTCCACACCAAACCATCTACAAATCCCTTGTAAGAAACACATAGCCACATCTATGTGTTATTTATTCTGTTTATGACTTGTCTGCAGCTTATTATAATAAAGGAAACTTTGAAAATGAACAGAAAACTCAGAGCCCACTCTGAACCCAACATTGATGCTAAGTGCAGCATTAGTTTGCTGTCTCCCCAATTACTACGCATCCCTTGATTGTTTTTAGTCTGCCTGAGGTTTTAAGTCCTTTTCCTCACATTCTGTCCTTTCCTCTAGTTTTTCTTCCAGTTTTTACCTGTTCAGAGCAGTGCAGTACTGAACACTGCTTATCTGGTGCGTGGCTCCTCCTTCCCTGGGTGGTTTCCTTTAGATGCAGTTTCCCATGGACAGACATAGTTTCAGAAGTGCAGTAACTGGCAGCACTTTGACCCCATTTTCCCTCCTCTCCGTCATGAGGGTGTGCCTTTTCCCTACCCAAGTGACAGAAGCAGTATATGCCTGTCTGCATAGTCTTGTTTCATTTTTAAGCTCTTGGCATGTCCATCAGACCTTCCAGGAAGCAATTCACACTTAAGGTTGTTAGGTACTGTGTGTGTTCTGCACACAGTCAACAGCAATCTTCAGAGAGTTTCCTCACAGAGTTACAGTGTTGCAACTGATTTCTTTGCCCCATAGCTTTTAGTTGTTTGACTTATTTTTAATTAGCAAATAATAGCATGTTCTGTTGTATAATTGACATTTTTATGTATGCATAGATTGTAAGATGACCAAACTAGTCTAATTAGTGTATCCTCACCACAAATACTTACCCTTTCGTTGTGATGAGACCACTTCAGTCCACTCTTAGCTCCTTGAAATAGTCAAGGCATTAGGAAATAATTGCCACGGTGCTGTGCAATATATCATGTAGTAGCAAATTTCTTTTAAAAATAACTTTTGGCTGAGTGATTGTCACGCTGTGATGATAAATGGTAAAGGAAATGATGCCTCAAATTTAGTTACTTATTAGAACCATCATTTTGAAAAATCACATCCGTTTACACTAGGGTCTCTCTCATGGCTGCTAGTCATCTATTATTTAAAATTTTATGCATGAGTACTGCCTGAGACTTTTTGACTAACCATAACTTGTAGTATTAATTTCTCTGTCCTACATCACATTTTGTATTAGAATGTTTAAAAGTAACCATTATTAAATGTCAGTTGACATGTGTACTTTTGCCTCTACAGACAGCTCTGTATAGGAATAGGGACTATTTTAGTTCATTGTCCTTCTGGAGTAAGAACAACTAAACTCTAGATTAGTGTGGTAATTGTTATAAAATTTGGCATCACAGACTTTAGATTATAAGGAATTTATCATCTAATGTTGCCTTATAGTATGCACCATATATCTAAGAAATCTATTTACCTTTTCATTTTTTTATTCATTTTGTGATCATTGGAATAGTTATTGTTAATACTCTATTCTAGAATGTTTACCTTAGAATCCCATTGCCTCAGATCCATAGAGATGGCTTTGTTGGAAATGTTGCTTGTCACTAAGCCTGATGACCCGAGTTTGCTCCAAGATCTAGATGGTGGAAAGAGATTGTCTTCTGACAGCCATGTGTACAGCAGGGTGAACACAAGCCCACATAGGTATACATTGAATGAGTAGATGATTGATTGATAGATAGATAGATAGATAGATAGACAGACGGACAGACAGATAGACATAATTTCACTCATGCACTAAAGAGGAATAGTACATAATGTGAAAGGATTTCAGAGGCTACGACATGGCTTGGTGAGTTAAATTTGATCTCAGGAACCCACATGGTAAAAGGAGAAAACCAACTCCCCAAAGTTGCCCTCTGGCATGGCATGTGTATACACACACAAATATAAATAAATAAATAAATAAATAAATAAATAAATAAATAAAATGTGGCTCGAATTGTCTTGTTTCATTTTGTTTATGAGATAGCTGGCCTGAAACTTAGATCTGTCTGTCTTTGCCTCCAAGTGCTAAGATTATTTATACATACATACATACATATATACATACATGTCACAGTTCATGTGACATTTCTAAAGTAAAGTCTGATGTGATGTTTACTTATCTGTATAATTCGATACCAGATATCATTTACCATGTGTCTTTGGGGTCTGTTTTTCACCATTTCTTATTTTAATAAACATACTGCTAATATCTAGCCTTCTCTCCTTTTGATGTCCCCTTGCTTCGCTACAAGGAAGTTTAAAAAAAAAAAACAAACCAGCATCTCTTAGAAAACCATCTTTCCAACCTGGGCCTGTAATCCCAGGCAACTGAAAGCTAAATAAAGAGAATTCTGCTTTCAAGACTTGCTTGGGCTACAAGGAAGTTCTAGACCAGCCTGAACAACTTCTGAGGTCCTATCTTAAAATGAAATTAAAGAGCAGACTGGGCACACAGTTTTTTGGTAGAGTATTTATTTAGAGAATTCACTATGCTCCAGGTTCAACCTCCAGTTAGGACCAAGACAGCATCTTCCAGTTAACTGAAACCCAGTATTTGAAATTAAAAATATTAATTGCTTCCTGGCCTTTTAGCTAGGATCAAGTATAGTTCTGTTTTCATAAGTCTAATGTCGCATGTAGCCTCTGTTTGAAGTATATAAATGGAGTTTTGGAGCAGAGAGATAAAATGGAGGCCTGCTCCCTCAACCCCCATACCTCACTTATTGCGATACCTTCAGGAATGGTGCACCCCTTCAGAGGACTAAACTAAGTTTTTAAAAAATTTAAATAATAATTCAAAATAAGTTTAGCTATTAATACATTTTACAGGATGTTTAATGATAAACTAACATTTCTTTCTTCAATTTGTATTTGTCACAAGATTTCATTCCCATTTTACATGTACAGCTAAGAAGGAATGCCACAGTGCTTCCTGTCTTTTGAGAATTACGTCAGAGAAGTGACTTAGATATATGAAACTTATTGTGATTCTCTTAATTATTGGGATTTGATAACCAAACAGAACCCATCTCAGCTCTCCTGAGGCTCACTAATAGAAACTGTTGTCACAAAGCAGTTACTTTCTGGGTGTTTTAACAGGTTAACCTGGGACCTGGAAAGACGAATTAATAGTGACGAGTACTAGCTGCTCTCTCAGAGGACGAGGGTTGAGTTCTCAGCCCCACAACCAGATCTAACTCCAGTTCCCCAGGATCCGTTGTCCTCTTCTGACCTCTGTGGGCAGCTATACATATGCAAGCAAAGCATCCATACACATTTTTTAAAAAGCCTAATAAATCTTAAAAATGTGTGTCTGATTGATGGAGTTTAAAGTTCTATTTAGCAGAAAATTAAGAATAAATTCCTACTGTACCACTCAGTTAGTTTACGTATTTGTTTGTTAAAGTTAAGGAGTCACTGTAAAACCAATTGTGAATTTTATCTTGTTTTTGTTGTTGTTGTTATTTTTTGTTATTTTGCTTTGGGGTTGTTTTGTTTGGTTGTTTTGTTTTCAGTTTTTAATGTCAAGGCTTTCCTGTGAAGGGTTGGCTATCCTTGGAACTCACTATGTAGACCAGGTTGACCGAGAATTCACAGAGATACACCTGGCTCTTGAGTGTGCTAGGATCAAAGGCATGTGCCACCACTGTTGGGCCTGATTTTGAACTTTGATCCTTATCATGGCTTCATCTTTCTTAGCAACACTTAATATTTTGTATTTATTCACATACCAGAAAAAAACATTTTCACCATTTACTGTTAGCAGGAGACTTGGAAATATTTAGTGTTGATTCAGACTTCCCCTGCATAGTTGGTTGGCCATGTTGCTGTCCTCAGGCCCCTTGGTGAGGTGGGAAATGTACGTAGTGCTTTCCAGAACAGCATTACTCAATAAATGATTTTCTGTGGCTTCTGAGAGAAAAGCCTATAAAGGGCTTAAGTTCTGAGGGTTCTGGGCAGTTACCCAGCATTCCTACTCATCCTGCATGACAAACATCTTGCCCTTTGGAAGGAATTTCCAGCCTTCCCACATCTTTCAGTAGGAACTGCTATCCCCTTCTCACACACAGGCGGTCCGCTTGTGCACGTACTCAGCTTACCAGCTACAGCGAAGGCAGTTTCAGTCAGCAGAGTGAAAGCAGAACAGGCAGAATACAGGACAGGACAGTTGTTAAAACCTGATAGGAGTATCCCCGTCAGTGACTGCCTTCTGCCACCCATGTGTGCAGAAATAGCCTCGTACTTTTCTTTTCTCATTTAATGCGAGTGTATTCTATTGTTATTTATTATTTCAAGGGAATGTTTCTTGCTTTTACTTACTATTATAGTTTTCCACTAAGATTCACAAGGAAACATATTTTTGTAATATTGAAGTTTTGTTGAGGTTGGAATGTGCTGTGATTTGCTCCAGAACAGCATCTCAAGGGCGTGAAGAATACAGTGTCTCATAATGACCAGGTCATTTCCCTCTATAAGTTCATAGGGTCTAAAGTTCAAAGATACACTGTAATGTTTGGGGCAGTTCATAGAAAGCAAATGTAACTACCATTTAAAAGGTCAGTGTATGTAGCACTGTTTGCTGATAAGCAGAGTAAGAAAGGCTTGCATTCTTCCCTCCTTCTGCCCCTCCCCTTCCTTCTTCTGCCTCTCCTCTTCTGCTGCCTAGAATAATCTCTCACAGATGATTAGACAACAGGTGCCAGGAGAGCGAGGCAAACTGGCTTTGTGCCACATGTGCACAGTGGAGATCCAGTGTCACCACAGGTTTTGGTGTATCGCTATGTCCTTCCACGGGAAGGGATAACCCAGTTGAAATACATACTGCAGCTCCTGAGGGATTAAGTGTTTCCTTTGCTTTATAGTACAGAATTTTACAGTGTCTTTGTTTGGGAGTTCTCAGATTACTTAATGATTTCTCTAACTCCCCACCCCTACCCACTGTGACCAGATGTGTATTACAGCAGCGTTTGACCCTCTTCAGGTTGGCCGATTTCATTGCACAGCTTGTAATATAGCTTTTCTTTATTTAACAATGACATTTAAGTGTTTTGCATTTTAGGGAGCCAATTCAGAGTCAAGATATTGTTCAATTGATTAATCTTTAATCTTCTATTGTTTAATATTGTTACATTTCATAAGATGCGTGTATAGTGTTTCAGTTGTAGATAGAGAACTCTACAAGAATATTATTCATTAATCAGATTTGTGTCTATATTAAGCCACAACTGGAGTAGTGCTAATTGATCATTTTCCAGTCTTTTTAAATTGAAGAGTTTTTGTTTAGTTTTGCAGTTTCTGTTGATGCCAGTAACTTTGGGTAAGCTTTGGCGCATTTATTTACTTTTCAAAACAGCTTTTAGAACTCACTATTTTAGGAATCGACTTTGAGGGAATTATAGCCTTTGGCAGCTGTTTGAATGGAAATTCCATAGAGCTTCCTTAGAGGTTTTAGAAGACTCAGTTCACCCTGGACTCCATTGAGGAAGCATGGAGTTGTGAACTCAGCTCCCCCCCTCTCTCCAGTTCACCTTGTGCTGAAGTAGACAATGCTCTTAGAAGACGTGTGGTGCTAAGAGGAGAGGCTGCCTAGGGAACACTGGGCTTGTTCAGATGCCCAGGAGCAGAATCCATCGCTGAGAGACACAAGCTAAATCTGCTGAAAGGGGCGTTGGTGCGCTGAGTTTCCGGGAAGAGAGGAGACAGGAGCGCCAGCTCACGCTGGACCCTAGCCATGGGTTCACAGCATTAGGGGAAGAGGCTACACATGGTGTCAGGCTAAGAGTAAGAAAGGAGTTTGCGTCCTGTTAGAGGGAGCCAGTATTCAGTAACAGAGTTACCAGTGATGAAGGTGGAGGAAGGAGAAAAGAAACAGTTGCTTGAGATGGCTGCAGTGAAAGCCCTCCCTACAGCCCACTAGAGCTGAGTTCAGGGTGCAGTGGGGTTGGGGGAGTAGTGAGACCCAGTGGACCTTGGCAGGCCTGTTGTGAGAACAGCGATGTCCCACATGGTAGCGTTTTACAGTAAAGTACTTCTGTACAGGCACGGCTCACAACATGCAATCTAGGGAAGCCTAGTCAGCCCTGATATGGGTAAGCAGGGCCCCACAGGTAGTAGCATGGTGTGTGCAGTGCTGAAAGCATGCCTCTGAAGACCTGGCAGGTTGCTTAGAAAGGGCTGTGTAGAGAGAGGGAGAGAGCAGAAAAGTCCAGGACCTCAGTGTCTCTGAGAGCTTTGCAAGCCATGTTGGAGTATTCACTTCATTCCCTGAGCCGGACAGGGCGGAGGGCTCTGCCCGTGTTTTATGCTGGAAAAGAACATGACCAGCTTAGCTCCTAGAAAGATCACTGACTGCTGTATACAAAGTGAAAGGAAGGAGGTAAGGGGATTGGGGGGAGGAGGTAGAAAAAGTAGCTAGTGACTAGGAGGGCTGAGCCCATGGAGTACTCTGGGGATGGAATGGTGACTGGTCACATATGACCTATTTGAGATTAGCATTTTGTCTTTCTATGTGACTCTGTGGGAGAACAGACTATGATTGATTAGGGTTCCCTCGATGCTGATTTTGTTTTGGATGAGCTTAATAATTATTTTATTCAGTTAACCCAGAGAGGGGCTATCTAGGTGTTGTATCAGTTAGGTAGAAACTTTGGTTTGGGTTCTGAGACAGTTTTGTCATGCAGTCAGTAGGCTCTAACTCGCCATCCCCTTGATCCCCTTCAAGGCTGTGATTAAAGATGTGTGCTGGCAGCACACCTGGCTTGGGATTACTTTCAGTTTTTTCTTAACTAGAAAATGCAAGGTCTTTATAGACACTGAAAAATCGGGAAGATAAGAGTAATAAATCACCCTCCTCACTCCTCAGAGACAGGTATTATAAATATTTCCATTTCCTTCCATCTTTTGTCAGAAAGCAGTATTTACAAATTGAGATCCCCCTGGCAGGAAGAGAAGGTCACTTTATAGTAGAGGCTCTGAGAGCGAGGCATGGCTGGGTTTTCTTTTACTGTAGGATGCAGTACTTGCCTTTAATAAGGACTAGGTTATGTTTTGAGCCTTTCTATTTTTTTTTTTCTTTTGAGGACAAAGCCTTCATGAGAGATGGCCTGTGTGACCTGTTAAAGGAACACTGCCCAGTCACCATGTGCCTGAAAGCCACTTTTGATGAATGCCAGACTGCCTGTGTTTGATATTTCAAATACCTGGGGGGGTGGGGGTGGAGGGAATCTCAATGGAAATGAGTCATAGTTTGTTTATTGGAGGTAGACCAGTAGGACATGGGTAACAAGGGGAAAGTGACAGCTGACAGTGCATCTTAACTGGTTTGTAAGAAGAGATGATGTGTGGGTCCTGCTCGTGCCCCTCTCTGACTTTTTTATTTTTTTAAACATTTCCTTTAATCTGGCTGGAGATTGATGGAGGTATTATCTTGAGCTGTTAGGAGCTGTGAGCTAGATCGGAATGACAAACACACATTGCCAGCTCTTGAGGGGATGGATGGAGTAACAAGCTCTGCACTGCAGAGTTTGCTCTTCTGTAGGGTCTTTGGAGAAATGTCGCTCTCACTCTGTGTTGGGGGGAGGGGTGGGGTGGAGCAAAGATGTAGCTTGTTACCTAGTTGGCTATTTTCCCTCCCTTGACTTACAGACATTGTAAGTGGCTTTAAGGTACCTTTAAGGTCTGCCTAGCACCTTCAAAGCTTCTGAGTGTGATCCTTTTCTTTGATGTATAGAAATTAGCACGTGTGGTTTATGTGG